AGCGTCTTTCCCTGTTCTAATGCTGCTTTAGCCTTAACTGTATGGAGAATATCTCCACGATCTCACTGTTGTCTCAGCAAAGCCTTATTTAAGAAACTACAGTTTGGGTGGAGCCATAGGTTCACACCATCCCCCAAATCATTACCCTACACTCACAACCTCCCTCCTGTTGCTGCTCCTACACCCCTCTTGGTGGTAAGTTCACAAGCGCAGTGTAAGCCAACAGAAGTGGTGGGGAAAGCTCTCACCCCAGCCACTGTCCTATAGTTTCTTTTCCACTGGCCAAGTCATCCAGAGGGCAGCACTTATTTTATTTTTTCTTATCTCTCTGTGGGCTTATGTGCTGGAGATGCATGGATGCGCAGTGCATTTTCTAGTCCTAGCAGACTGATGTGGAGGTATCCCCAGAGGGAATTAGATCTGGGAGTCTGACAGTGGTGCTGAAGGAGAGGGAGGAAGGAGAGGCTAACCAAAGTGAGGTACACCTCTGGTAAACAAGGGACAGGAAAGAGAGAGGACCTACAACATTTTGTAGGCATGCATGCTCAGCCTGACCAGCCTTCTCCCAGGCAGCAACTATGATGCAGGACCAGGCATGGTTAACTAAGTGAGGGACTCTTATCTAGAGCTGCTTTTCCTACAGCCCTGGTTCTGGGCAGTGCTAAGACACAGGTGCAATGCTGTGAGCACTGCTGTTTCCTGAAAGAAGTGTTACTGTTAAGAAGGAACACAAGCGCTGGTGCAAAAATCTGCACTCGGAAGACACGCTCATCAGCAGTTAAGAACAGTGACATAAATATTCAACAATGTTAACGCACCAATTTTCCTAGCTGAGATGGAAGACCTTGCCTCTAAACTGTATTGGAAATTCTCGACTTCACTGAGCACATAGAGAAAGAGGTTGGAAAAGCTGAGTAAATTTCTAAAAAAATATTTAAGACTTAGAAATTTTTGGTGATTCTCAGCTCTGGTGTAGCTCTAAAACAAAGCTGAAATAACAAGGAGAAACAAAATCTGTACAATCTTAGTGTAATTTGTGATACTTCAATACTGTCAATGTTAATGAAATGGCATGAATAGGCTTGATTGGCATATGATATAAATTAGTTCATTAGTTTTGGAGGAAGTAACTGGGACAGACCAGTAGGCTAATCTATGTCATCCTGATGGCTCTCGTGTTGCCTCCTGGATATCTCTTGTGGCTCAGTAAAGTGATTTGTGGTTTAAAATGGAGATTATAAGAATTACTTGGACACCTTTCCAAAGCAGTTGGAGATGTGTGAGTAAGAACAGGAGAACAATGGCTAAAGCAGGATAGTTCAAGCACCTGGAGGTATGAGATAGATGCAATTTTTGAGGGACCTCATTGAGCCATTTTCTAAAGATGTTAACCTTTTCTCAGAATGGCATGGTAGCAGCTAAAAGCCTGGGCATGCTCAGGGCATGTTTGAAAGACTTTTTGTGCTGCCAGAAATTATTGTTTCCTCTTGCCTTTAATTCTGCCTACAAGGCCACAGTAGGAAAAATAGTTGAGCCAGAAATAGAACTGTCCTATGGGCAAAATTCAGCCTCCATGGCAACAGTTGGGCCACTCTCAGATCAATTCATCATTCAACTAAATCTTACATTTTTTTCATCAGAGTTTTGATTTAATTACAACCAGCTTACATGTATTTAAGCTTTACTTCCTTTCTGCAAGGTGGGAAAAACAATACATTAATTCCTTTGAGTGCAGATACTAAATTGAGCTGCCCTAAGCTGAGAGAAGCCCTGAACAGTAACAGAGAAAGGGCCTCAGTGCCAACAGATTGGAAAACAACTACAAATCCCTCCCTGAATATAACTATCTACACAGGCAGTACATAATGTATTCATGTTTTTATTTTAATTACAATTATTATCACATAAAAACCTAATTTCAACCACTTCCATCTTCCTTTTGCAGAAATAAGGCGTCTGAAAAAAAAGTTTGCTGGGAATTACAAAGGCCTGTGTCGCACCATGTTCTTTAAGAAAGATTGTGCAATTACTTAATATCAAAACAAAAACTTACCCCACACCGCCATGAAAACAGCAAAAAAGACAGTAGCTCCATTGTCAAAAAGGTGGGTCACCTGAGGGATATGTTAATAGTGTGATCAATTTGTGATAATAAGGCTTTCTTCTTTATTTTCACCTAATAAAATTAATGTGATCATGAGTGCAGCTGGCCTGACAGTCCTGAGGATTCTTCCCTTGACGTATGAAATGCACCTGCAGTTGGCAGAACTATTTGCCAGCCTGTCCTGGGACCGACCCCTGCCAACACCAGGTGTGAGCATCATTTCAGACCTGAAACATTCGTTTTATGGACCCACATACAAAGGATAGATCATAAGATAAAAGTTGATGCCAAGGACAGTGTAGCACATGCATCTAGGACACGACTTCTGGGACTACTGAATCTCTAAGTGTGAATTGCATTCAAGTATTTTATAACCCAAACTAAGTCTTGGTAAAAGACAATGAATGTTATTATTGACTGAACTTGACTTGTCCTTTCCTTTAGCTCACTAAAGACAAATGCAAAAGCCAAAATTAATGCTTTTACCAGGAAAGCGTTTCTATTTGCACAGTTTAAAGCATACCTTGGCATAAACACAGCTGTCTGACAACCTCATGAAGGGACAGTATTTATCACATATAGGACACATTATGATATCTGTAGCTTGGCAGACTTCTTTACTGGAAAACCAGAAAAGATAAAAATTAATAGTTTGATCCACAACAATCAGTCTTAAAATGGATTGGTAATTTTCACTAATATTCAGTTACTTATTGAACAATATTGATTCTGTAACTGAAGACAAGATGTTCATAACTGCATGTGTATAATTAATATTTGTTGACTGTTTAAGACTTCAGAGTTGACAGTCGTAACTGCAGAGAACAGTTCTTCAGGGCCAGACTAGAGTATCTGTTTACCATTTCCAGCTTCTCCTTGGGTCAGAAGTGATCTTCAGTAGGAGGAGGGTGATGATGACTGAAGATAAAGTTAAGTTTGACTTATTCTTGTGACTTGTCTTAAGTGTGCAAGAACATAGAGATGCAGCACTCAGCAGAAGTTTCAGGGGGTTCTTCATCTGAAGAATGCCTCCCTGTGGTAGATCTTTGGGAAAGGCATTGAAGAGAGTGAAAATTCCCCACTCTTCTGCTGGCCTGTTACAACGGTGATGAAGGAGACCTACTTTTTCCCTACTTCATGCTGAGTTGCCAGCACCCTCAGCAACTGGAGCTCGGTAAGAAACATTGCCTACCATCCCAATTCAGGAGCACAAAACAAGGGGAGCTCAATACTGGGTACGTTATGAGAACCAAGCACAGTCTTTTCCTGAGTATTCATTCAATAGTTCAAAATAAAATAATTAACAATTCATACGAAGATCTCTTAAATTATTCATAATAACCCACAGCTGTAATTTCCTTGTAGAAATGCCCACATTACCTGACTTGGCAGTGGTTCAAAGTGGTGACTCCATACAAAAAGACAAACAATCCAATGAAGGCAGCTGGGAAGAGCATCCCCGTGTACCAGCCTAACCAGGCAAAGTACAGCCCAATTTTCTCACCAAAGTACCGTCTGTTGTAAAACACAACACAGCAAAAGTTACCTGCTAATTAGAATAAATGTATTTATTCTTGTTTGTTAATAGAAAATAAATATTTCTATCATATCTTGAGAGTAGATTAGAGAACAGAGTCAGAATTTCCTGAGGAAAAAGCCTGCAACTAGGCTTCTAAATCCGCACTGAGGGACCTGCCTCATAAATGAACTTTAAAAATTAATTTAAAAATTCAATAGCCACAGTTTACAGTGAGATGAGTGGAGACAACAGAAAGGAAACACTGAGTTAATTTAAAAAAACTAGTTGTTTGTATTTGGGAAATTGATGGCTTGCTTTGCCTTTTGACTGTCTAACTGTACTTCCCGAATAATTGCATTGAAATCAGTTCCATCCCTAAAACTGGTAAAACAGTAAAAATTTTCTGGGGCCAAACTATTTCTAAGATATTGATTAACTAGAGGTTATTTTCCAATCCAGTTTATTTTCATTTGATTATTTCTTCTCTTAGCTCAGTTCCCAGAAAACTCTCATGATTCTACCACAGGTAGATAGTAAAGTGAAACTGAGGTCCAACAAATATCTATGTATCATCTTGCACTGATTTGAGGAAAGTAGTCTGAATTAATCCTAATTTGTTAGTTATATTGCTTAATAACTAACAGCAAAGAGGCCAGGAAGCTCCTATTTGCTACATATTCATTAGCATTTTTCCTCCTCCCAAACCTTTATTTATGTGTTAAAGAATACATCAAGCACAGAAAAACCCTGCTGCTGAACTCATCAGCATAGGAGCAGGCTCATGCATTGTCCTGTGTTTGACGGTCTTGCGCACAGTAGGCTGATGGTTAGATTAGGATGCTTTACAAATCAATATGCAATTATCATGATTACAATGAAGATTTTAGGAGATTATCTGCAAGATTAGTTTTAAAGAATGAGGCAAGATGATATTCTTGCACTTCAGAGACTTTGCAGACAACTTAAACTGGTATATCAACTGAATTTGAGAACAGCTGCTGATGAAAATCTGTTTTTATGCCGATGGTGCAACTTCTGATCTGTCCAGAGACAAAGGATGAAGTGAGCCAGCACTGCTGGTTCCTTTATGCTACCAGAAAACAGCTTTGGTCAAACTTTCGCAGTGAGGAGGAAAAGACCCATGATGGGCTCTAAGGCTGGATGCAGTGGAGAAGGAAACACTTGGACTGGAATGGACAAAATCATCCGTTTTCAAACAGATATAAAAAATTTCCAGTGTGAGCAATATCCATCTGGGCTGAGCTCATGCTCTGCTGAATGGTACTGACCTACACTCATTATTATCATCTGAGTTTACCAGCTCTGTGTGAGAAGCCAAATATTGTCATTTTGTTTTTATTCTTCTGTCACTCAGCAAAGACAGGCTAAAGAGGTGGTAAGCTAATGATAACATGCTCAGTTCTGACAAAGACAGCAGGTCTAGTTGTAAAAAGACAAACTGCTTTTTGAGACCTGACTGAGTGTTAGTGAACCCTTCGGCCTAATTATTTTCCTGACACCTAGGATGTCAAGCTGTGCCTGCTCCACTGAAAAGGCAAGCTCACATTTTGAGCTTACTTCCACTGAATACATATGACCTATTTTTCTCCATGTACATAGTTCAAAGTAGTGAAGTAAACCTAACATTCATCAAGATTTATTTTTTTATTTCATTCCCTGTATTCAAGGATGAATGCTTCCTTGTTCCACCTCCTTAGACAACAAACACCGATGACAAACTTCATATCCTCTTGAGCCTTTCCATCTAACAGTGCAAATCATAGTACTCCTTTTTGATTTAGAGATCAAACAGCTTCATCCTAGACGAAGAACCAAGTGAGGTCCAGTGTGTGCATAAAGAAGACTGGACACAATGGGGAACAACTCAAATCTCTGCAGTTTAAGGGAAAGGCATCTGAGGCCATTTGTGAGCCTGGTTTTAAAATAAGTGCAGGATGTTGGACATTACTTTGACACGTATTGGTTTAAATATGGACAAACAGCCTCTATCTTCCACTATCGCCCTTTGCTTCACAGCTGTTCCACAGGCTGTACTACCATAATTTGCATCAGGGTCAAGTTAATATTTCATTTCTTCTGGCCCGATAGTTAGCATTTTTTTTCTCTAAGTTTCAGCTCAGACGCCACTAGGCTGAATGCTATAGAAACAAACTATGGCAGTAACAAGGTCTTTGGACACCTTCCTAGGTGCCATATTCAGAGCAGTTCCGCATTCATTCCAATCCATAATTGGGATAGCCTGGATCATCATGAACCTCAGGAGATGAAGATGATTTAGAGATACCTTTTTTCTTTCCCTTCAAGTTGCACCAAATAAGAACAAGCGCTTTATTTCTTCTCTGTCACTATATATAAACCAGAAATTTCATATAGCTGTCACAGCGATGGCAATTCTCTTACCTGCATGCTGGCACTTTAGCCAGAACTTGGTAATGTGCATGAAGAATTCCAGCGATTTTTTTTCTAGGGCACAACACTGTGCATTACTCATACCTAAATTTCGCCTGTTGTCACGCTGCTCATTGAAGGCCTCTGTGAAATTTTCCAGTGTTGATAACATTTGCATTTTTTTTAACTTTGCTAACTTATTAATTTTTCGGATGTTTTTGTGTCTTTGATGGTTCTCACATAGAAAATTTCCTCCACAACTAACCTAAAAAGCAGTGACATAGAAAACCCGCAAGCACCTAATAGAATAGTCAGTCTCTCTTATTCTCATATATGCTGTACCATTAGAATAATAATAAAAAAATAATTTCATCTTCTCAATTTTATCTTAGTGTGTATGCTAGACCTCCAATATCACCTACCTTGATGGTGAACTGTCTCTCCCCTTACCCCATTCCAATGAACTATCACTGACTTAACTGAGCCAAGATTTAAATCTCAATATTTATCAATAAGGCTCATTTTTGAAAAATGCTAAGCTACAAAGTCTGATTTCAGACCCCCAAAAGGTGATACTGGATTCTTCCATATCTAATGACCTTCATTATATCATCTTTTGCTTTCACAATCTCTAGAAGGAAGTCTTGGGGCCAGAATATGGATGAGTTTGGACTCAATCCAAGAACCTATCTATCTTCATTAACCCTTCCACAGGTCAAATTGAAGTCCTACAAAGAACTTTTTACATTACAGAGACAAATTTTGAGGGAGCTAGAGCTTTCCAACAGGTGTTTTTGACACATGGAGCTCTCGTGATATGTCAGGAGCAATGGAGTGGGGAGGAAGGCTGGACAGGAGATTGAAAGAGAGTTAGCTTGCAATCAAGTTATTTAATGTAAATATGGAGTAAAATGCAAATTACTCAGGCATTACTTTTGCTTTCAGGTTCATTTGGGTAACTTTACAATCACTTTATAAATACAATCTTTTCCTTCCCTTTTTGTCTTGTAAATAACTTCCACAAGCAGCAGCAGGAGCAATTTGTGCACAAGCCAGAGGGAGGTAGCTATGCACAGAAGTGTGAAGGAGGTGATCCAAAGCCCCAGGAATCTCTGCAACAGTTTCCATTGGTGGAAATACGTGGTCCCAGAGCATACAAATACAGTATATCCTGCCTTTTTTCAGTTGCTATCAGTTCTAAGGGTCTTAAATTATTCTTATAAAGCAACTATGGATACTAAATTCCAGTGTAACTAAAGAAGTGTAACTAAAAACATGGTACCACATCTGTTGATTAATAAGAGTGCCTTCACAATTGTGCCAAGTCTGCGCCTTCATACTGCCATGTGTTTCAAAGCAGAGCGAAAGCAGAGTCATGCAATTCCCCTCAAATGACTTTTTCTCATTCATTTCTAGTGAGTAGTATCTCCATAAAAGCCATCTGATGAGATTAAATGAAAACTGGGAGGCACCAAATTGACAGCACCGGAGATGTAAGCCCTCATTTTAACAGCTAAGGAAAAAGTAAAACAGCATCCAAGTATGAAGATTTTGCTTACCATTGTGACAACTTGACTTTAAGGTGGAAATATCACATCTATTAAGGAGACAATTATATTATCTACATTTAATTTACTCCTTAGCTTTTCTACATCATATTGTAAAGGGGAATGTCAGCTAGCAGCAGTAAGTTCTGGCCAGACGTCTGTGGAAGAATTAATATCCATCTGCTCCTTTTGTACAAATGGCAACACTACTCCCTTCAAGCACATAGCTATTGGTATGGGAAAAAAAAAAAAGTTGCTACTGCTGCAGAACTGATACTAAAAAACTTCTGTTTGAAGTATGCATGCTGAGATACTTCCGAGTGAAATGAACAACAGGCCGTGCTGGTGGTGTCAGCTCTTCAAGGAAAAATCTCCAGCTCACTAGACACGTGAGCTGCTGAGAGTGGCAGTAGACAGGAAAGATTTGGCAGGAGCTGAGGAAATGTGAGGTATCATCTAGCATCTGTGAAACAAGAAGAAAAAGGCATTCCCTCCCCTTTCCTGTCACACATCCTTCAGCGAATTCATTGCAGCCGTGGGTGCAGTCCAGGCAGCAAATGGAAGGCTGGGCTGGGCTGCAGCTTTCAACCCTGCTGAGCTCAAAGGTTACGAGACTCATGCTGCTATGAATGCTCAGGGAGCCTCACAGCTTCCCCTGCCGCTCACTCCTCTTTTGGTAAACACCTACTCTGAACCACCACAGGAGACCCATGACCTCAGCTAGGTTGTCTGCTAGCAATTTTGATTGCATTTTTTCTTTTGTAAAGTAGCTGTGGAGAAATCTGTGGATGTCACTGTCTGATGAAAAGCTAAAACACCTTAAAAATCTTAAACATCAAACCCAGGCTACTCAAAAAGGCTGCCACCAAGGTCCAGAACAATTGTGTGTCTAACCTTGCTCATTCTGTTACCATTTGCTCTCATACTTAAAAAACCTTCCAGGTGTCTGATGGTCCATATTCACAAAGCAAATTAAACCAAACCCCAGATATTGTCTCAACAGCACTTTCACAAACAAGAAATGTTGAAGAATGGCAGCCTTGACCACATGGAGAAATGATAAAAAAATATTATAGAGATAAGTTGTTTATACTGTGACATTAATATCTTACTGTAAACTGGGAAATTAAAAATAAAAAACTTCAGTAACTGTTGGCTCCTCCATAAATCATCAATTTCCATAGTGTAATTCGAAAAAAATTCCGTATTTCTGTTCAGGCCAGTGTATTAAAAAAAAAAATTAAGCTTTTGGGATTAAATTATGAGGTACAAATACGTTACTTTGTTTTCTAAAGCATTTTAAAATTCACATGACTCATTAAAATTTTTTTATTGTATTTCCCTGTGAACTTTTTCTCCATGGAAATTATATACCTCTTGTTTTATGAAATAGATAGGTTTTACATGGACCTAATCAATAATACTGTCTGTCCCCAGGGCCAGCCCCTACAAATCTGAAACAATTTTGAGAATCGATAAAAGCAAAGGTTTCTATTAGTTACAGGACCTATAAAAGGGAAATTAATACGTTGGACTGATTGCATGCTCTGTCTGACCCTTCCCAATGGCCAATGTGTCAATGCCTTCAGTGATCCCAATACATCTTAAGACTTTATTAATAGGCCCTTGTAGCTTCATATTGCTCTCTTCAAGTAGAAAAAATCCATTAATGTCCAAGAATAGTTCTGCCAACATGATCAGTAAGGGCTCTGGCTCTCTATAAATGCATAAAAAATATGTAATCTTCTATTAGCGCATACAAGCCTATTTGAAAACATTATTTAAAAGGGCTATAAGAACTTGGAGTCGTGTCTCATCTTTCTCAGTGTTTCCTCTTTGCTGGCTACGTCCAGGATGAATACAAATCCGGAAGTGGTGATGGGGCTGGGCAGAGTTTAAGGAAGATGGTACAGGAGAGACTTCCACCCATCTACCACTAGTGCTGCAGAAAACAGTAGCACACTCAGTGACTGTAAGGTCTGCTCCGTACCATTTGTAAGTATCATTGAACTTCAACCAGGGCTCCTTCTGTGGTTGTTTTTTTTTTAAAAAAAAGTGATCTAGTCGATGAGAGCCTATTTTTCACCAAAGCCATGCTCTGAGGAGGAAGAAGAACTCCTCCAGTGGATAGACATGCAATCAAGTCTACGCAGTCTCCACAGATTTCACTTTTCCTTTTTTTTTGTTTCTTTTTTTTGTTTGGTTTTTTTTTGTTCTCTCTTAAGTATTCTGCAAACCCGTCATTAGAAGTTACGGTGTCAGGAAACTCTAGAAGGAAACTTTCTTCGCTTCCAGCTACACCTACAAGCTCCTTTATAGATACTTCTTTGAATGTAGTGGCACTATGAATGAAATAGATTCCAATGATCCCAGAGTCAGATTTTAAAAAACACATAAATGAATTGAGCTTTTCATGGTTTTGTAAGAAGAGAGATAACCTGTACTCAAGCACCTATAATATGACATACTAAAAGAAGGAAAGTCTTACCTCACGAGGTCCAGTGGTTGGTATTTATACCACACTCCCCAGGAAGCCCAGCACTCATAGAGCAGGTGTCTGTGGTTTTCTGCCCCATGTGTTCTTATTGAATTCTTACTTCTGTAACTTCCCTAAAATACAAATCTGGACATTAATGAACAGCAGCAAAAAAGAATATCTAAGAAATCTGTCTCAGTAGTGGTATGTATAACACAATTTATGCAAACTTCATACTTGTGCACCGAAAGCTAAATATGACATTAAAAGGACAATTTCCTCTGACTTCAGTAAGAATTGAGAATATTCTTCCCAAGAAATTCGTGATAAACAATGTTCAAGTCAAAGACTATAAACTGGAGAATCTCAAAGAGAAAACCACAGCATGTTTTGCCCCTTTGAAAACCCAAATACTTTTTACAGAACAGATCCAGAACAACTCTCCTTACTCATCTCTTTTTGCAGGAAAAAAAAAAGCATTTTTTCCAAGAAAAAAGCATTACTAATGAGAGGGATGTCAGAGGGAGACACAGTGTGCAAGAGAGAGTAATAACATTAATAAGACTGAGGATAAATGTTTACACAATTAAGAATTCATTTTGTGGGAAATGTCTGTTCAAAAAGAACAAAAAAATGAGAAAAATACCTCATGAAGAGGAAATGCAGCTTCATAGGAGCCATTACTGAGCAATCGATTCAGACCTAAGAATCAAAAGTATCCAATTATTTACCAATAGGACCAGAAAAACTGCTAGAGTAAAAAGCAAAAGACATTTGCATAATAATCTGGCTAAATGAAGTTTGAAGCCCATTGACAGTAAATGATACATGTAGAAAAATTTATCTTTTATAGATTTTGATGAAGTAAGATATAATACAAGCAAAGACTTGTTCAAATATTGATCATAATCTATCATTAATTATGCTGGAGGTTTAAAGATTCATTTGCCGAATCCATCTTTAGTGTAACTTCAGTGAAATCAGGGACCTCACACCAGGTTTGAAGTTTGACCCTATAAATTATGGTCTAAGGAAGCTATTTAGATGAAAGCTGTTATTTCTTGGGAGCTGAAAACTTCAGGGGAGATCTTTACAGTTTTGAACTGCAGGCCAGTAAAACAGCTGGAACTCTTAACTTCCATATGATAACAACATTGTAAAATATGTTCAGTTTATGTCTTACAAAATCTACTGGACTACCAGATAGAACAGGAACAAGACAGGCTGCAGTAGTACAAGACCAGAAGATATACTTGAACCTGAACAAAAATGATTGCTATTTGCGCAAAAAAGCAATCATACACCCCACTCAGCCAGGGTCCCTCTTTAATGAGAACCTCGAGAGAACTAATGATGATTGCTGAGAAGTAGGCAGTTTTACTTGGAAAGTTACTAAAATATGACTGAACAACTATCACACAACACAAAACTAAATACTGGCACCAACAGCCTGAAGGCATTTGAACCCCATTGACCAAGGGGCAAAGAATCTTGATTCCTTTCCTAATTCACAGGGAAATGATAGCAGGAGTACTCCAATGAGAAGTATTTATTCGACATAAATAGCACTTTCAGTGATTGCATTAGTATCTGCTTGGCAGAATATGCTTTCCTCAAAAGTCTCTGGCAGAAAAGTAAAACTTGTACAGCTGAGCTGGGCTTTGCTTTGCCCGGTGATCAGTGCAAGGTTGTGTTCATGGTAGGTATGACACAAGTAGATATGTGAGGGAGCTTGGGATCTTGAGGCAGGCAGGGACTGCAAGTGTGTATGCTAAATGCAATGGCTGCATGCACTGCATGAATTCTTCCCTTTCTTCCCTCTGCTCACTGTCATTTCTCAGAGCTATTGCTGCCCTCATCCTAGGAGCTGAAGAATAAACAAGTGTAGCTCTGCTATGTTTCTCCACCTCTTGAGGAAGGACAGGGTTTAAAGAGCTGGGAAATTAAATAGGCTGCAGAGTTTTATGGGGATTGTCTCTCCGTTTGTGATGCCTCAGTCTCCTGTGTAGTACACAAGCGGTACGTACTCGGTATTGCAAGACAGAAGAGGGCCACTGTTTTGTACTCCAGCCCTCCTCTGTGACTTCCTGCTCTTCTGGATCTCCAAATGTGCCACTCCAATGATCCATTCCATACACTACTTGAAAGGGATGCCACAGTTATGCATGGCATCCTTTGCACTGAGGATGTCATTGGTGAACTCCCTTTTGACTTACAGCAGCTACAGATACACAACCTTCAGTCTCCCTTAGGGATGGACAGGTAACTGGGGAGAAGCCCTGCAGGCTGAGATGTATAGCAGCACAAATCTTGTCATCCTTCCAAATACATATTTATGAAGGAGTAAAAGATTCTCTGCATGAGTCTATCTGCTTCTCCAAGGTCCTTAATCTGCATATATTTCTTGCTTAAGTGTCTCTTTCCTTGCAGAGGTGATAAATCCCATGTGGTGACACATGTGCCTGTGAAAGCAGTCTGATATTACAGGGAAATTATCAGGTCTTCCAGGCAAAGCCCCTACAACAGCAGTGGGTGAGATGTAAACAGATCAAAACTGAGGTAATTAAAATGGAAGCAAAAGAGTCACTTACAAGCCCAGGCAGATTTCTCTTTTTTTGGTGGGACTTAGCACACGTGTTTAAAAGCGCGTTGCTCAGTACTTACCAATTTTGTTTTTCCCTTCTTCGTATTTCACCCTTTGTAAGATATGGTGAACAATTCTACTTCTTGTAGCATTATTGAAGAAAGTGTCTTTGTTGTGTATGATGAAGCTATATAAAAATACAAACAAAGGGTATCTCAGGAATGTATAGTAGCATGTTTAAAGCAAATATTGAGTTCCATTACTTTTTATAGCATAGTGAAAATCTACAGTATATAAGCAAGTCCAAGGAAGATTAAAGCACACCAGATTAAGTGAGATGATACACTGGATGAAACAATGTCAGTAACAGTATTGATTCCCTAACAAAGAATTACACAGAGAAGTCTAGAGAAAGATCAAAGATATTTAAGTATTTGTTATGATAAGCATCACTTTTAGATAATTCACTGAAAAATATAAAATACTTGCAAAAAACTTTGCAAAAGCATAAGATTTGTAAATGCAGCTGTAGAAATCCGCATTCGATTTCTATTTCAGTCTTCTTTATTACGCTTTACCATTAAGAGTCAGATGGAAACATCTACTTGGTAAATCACTGTTACTGAAAATCAAACAGTATCTTAGAAATGGAAAATCTTATATACTTTCATGTCTGGTCCTGAAGGTAAAACAGAGTAGAAAATTAGCTTTCAGAAGCTACATGTGGAGCTATGTATGAATGCAGGTCCAATTGTTTAGATGGAATTGTGATGAGTCCAGGAAATTTAAAAAAAAACAACCACAAAATCTATGGTATTGATTAGATTGGCTGGTATAATATATTTCCTATAGATTTCTTAATACAAATATAGGAAAACAAGATATTTTAGCATACCGTCATAATTACTGGAAAAATCCAAACAATATAACTGTTTAGAAATACTGTTTCAACTTGTCAATTAAATACTGCTAAAGAATTCTTACAGCTGCCTGAGGTGTGTAGGGCTTCAGGATAGGCTGTGAAAGTCATTTAGACATGAATAAGCAGATAAGTAGATGGAATTTCTGATTAAGTAGATTAAGAGTAAACTAAATGTTTTTTAAAATGTGGTCCTTAGTAACTACTGAATAACAAGATTCACACTCTTTAAAATACTTTGGGTAGGAGGTAAGATTATTTTCCTCCTCTGTGTTGGTGAAGAGCTAAGGAATTGAATAAACTGATAAATAAAATGGTAAAATCAGAGAAATGTCATAGAGACCAACCTGTAGGACTGCACATGAGACAAATCTGACTTTAACAGAGATCACCTTAACAGGGAGCTTGGTACAGATTTATGTCACCTTCTCTTTGCGCAACATGTGATCCACTGCCCAGTTTTCCCCTTGGGTAACTTTACCAATGACAATCTGCTTTTCAGAATGAATCTTTACTCATGGAAAATAATACATGGCTTTGCACCTCCACAGTCATTTGGAAAAACAGGCAAGGAGTCCAACTTCTGGACTTCGGAGATTCCATATGTTCCCTCTTTATTATCAAAATTCTCTGCTGATTTTTCCATACAAGACAATCTATAAGTTCCTTATGTTTAGCTTCAAAGGCAGATAGCAAAAATATTCCCAAAGTAAAGATACAGAAGACAATGTGCTCCAAGAGCACCACAATTAATGAAACCTGCTTTTCTAGAGGTTACTGTCTCATGTCTCCTTTCCCACTCTGCCCCAGATACTCACAGGTCATTTCTCTGTCCACAATCTACTCAGTACTGTAATTCTGGCTTCCTCCCACATCCCTAGTATTCCTAAAGTCCTACATATGTCCTACAGTACCTACTGAAAGTAATTTGATTTATGCAAATTGGCTTACCACCATGTGCTGATTTACCAATGGGCTGCTACCAAACAGCATATACAATTGGTGTGCACTGGCCACCGCCTTTTCTGTATAGGCACACTTTTCGGCCATTATTCCATTTCAAGCTGCTGATACTCACAAAGTAAGTAAGCCTGTGCTTATCTTTGAGGCAGCTACACCTGTACCAAATTTAGTTGAAAGTAATCAGTATGTAAAACAATAAGTATTAGAAGGATTTTCCCAAAAAGGAAATACTGTCATCATGTAAGTCTTAATGCTTAAGGAAATTAGATAAAAAACCAAACTACACTCTGAAGCAGATAGAACACCATCACTTCCAGCTGAAGCTGGAGCTCTGTGTTAGGCCATTTTAGTAGCGGCAGAAACAAATTGAAAGACAGTAGTAAACCAGAAATAAACAGTTAATGTTTTCCCCACTTTGTTTCATTTTCTTTTAATGTCTGACTTGACTTTGCAAGATCTTACCTCCCAGACAGCATTGAATGTTAAAGAACTGTGAAGATAGCTTACGAAATCAAAACAGCACAGTAATTTTCATTCTGACTTAGCTATGAGTTCTTGTAGGATTCAATTGAGAATTGAATCGCCTTATCTGGAAAATTATCAACATTGATCCAGGTAACACCAATAATGTTAATCTGTTCTACTTGTGATGTAAGGTTATTTTGCCAATCTGTTATCATGACTACGTCATACTGCAGCTACAGGTGATTATTTCAACAGCCTTTGTGGACATGTAGGTTAATAATTTTTCTTCACTTAGTCACTTGTATTTTCTTGAGCAAAGAATGAAAAAAAAGGCAAAAATCAAACATTATGCAGTCTTAAAAAGAAATAAGAACTACTTGCTTAAACAAACACTTTGATCATTTGCATTCATTTGTAAACTTAGCAATTGTGTGGTTATAGCTTTTGATCTCACATGGCTGAGCAAGAACAACCAGATATGTCTGTGAAGCAGATGTCAACACCTCGGTATAGTAACTGCCATGAAGAACGCTGACTATTCCAGAACTAGCTGAAGCAGTCCTAAAACATGCATGAGAATAAAAGCTGCAGAGGTTCTGCCCCACTCATCCTTGTGACAGTAAAAAGCATTTGAGGGCAAGAGGGGGTGACAAGAGGGAGAACTCATCATCACTTGAGTGGGCCAAGAACATGTCCTTCAGTGTTTTCCAAGATTACTCATGGTGACGTGGATGCAGAAGAGATGCTAGAGTTCATCACAGGTGAAAAAGGAGTGCTAAAATGAGTCCTCTGGATGTCCTGGACTATCCTTAACAATATCATTGGTTTGGGATGGAATTGCATATGCTAAAGGCTAAAAATAAACCTCACCTATTTTTGAATACAAATAACACAGTTGTTTGTTTTTTTCTTTTGTTTAACTCAAATACTCAGGTCAGTTCTCTGAAATTGTCTGTACAGCAGCCCCAGAAAGAGCAGTATCACCATAACCAAAGGGGCAGGGAGCTCTGTCACAGGAAGCGAAAATAGGCGGACATGAGTGGGAGGCACTGGAAGGTTGAGAATATCACGTAGTTGTAAGTATGTGTTGCAACATCCCAGTTAGAGGTTGACATAAGTTAGGACATTGCCAGGAAGGTTTCAATTTATCTCAAAAATCACAGCAGTTGCTCTTGTCAGGTGAGAATCATGCAGTTCATTGTAGGACTTATCCCTTTCTACCACCACCCTTCTCTCCCATGCTTTATGGTCGTTTCTTCCTCCAAATTTTTTGTGCTCCAAGTTGTCTTCTTTCTGAATGTGTGTGGTAAATCCATATTCACAGAAGGACCATTGTTGTGGTTTAACCTCAGCCAACCACTAAGCCCCACACAGCCGCTTGCTCACTACCCCCTAGTGGGATGGGGGAGAGAATCGGAAAAGTGAGAAAACTCCTGGGTTGAGAAAAAGACAGCTTAATAAGTAAAGCAAAAACCACACATGCAAGCAAAGCAAAACAAGGAATTAATTCACTGCTTCGCATTCACAGGCAGGTGTTCAGCCATCTCCAGGAAAGCAGGGTTCCATCACACGTAAGGGTTACTTGGGAAGACAAATGTCATCACTACAAATGTCCCCCCTTCCTTCTCCTTCCACCAGCTTTATACACTGAGTATGATGTCATGTGTTATGGAACATTCCTTTGGACAGTTTGGGTCAGCTGTCTTGGCTGTGTCCCCTCCCAGCTTCTTGTGCACCTGCAGCCTCCTCGCTGGCAGGGCAGCATGAGAAGCTGAAAAGTTCTTGACTCTGTGTAAGCACTGCTCAGTAACAACTAAAACATCAGTGTGTTATCAACATTATTCCTAAATCTGAACCATAGCACTGTACCAGCTTCGAGGAAGAAACTTAAGTCTATCCCAGACGAAACCAGGACAGCCATCGAGGCTATTTCATGGTCTGCAGCATTCAATGAGGAATTCAGAGGAGAAAGACTTTCTCAATCTGTGGAGAATCTCACCCTTCAAATTTCAGTTCACAGAGGCCAGAGTGGAAGACGTCTCCAAACTAGGTGTAGATGAACATTCTTCAGACATTACTGAGCTATAAACTGCATAAGGCAGAGGCTTTCTAGAAAGCTTTTTAACCTTTGTTGCTTTCAGATCGAACAGTTTCTTCAGGTGTTCTGTGTCTGCTGCCCCTGTTAGAATTTCAATATGCACAAGGGTTTGAATATTCATAAGAGCAATATAGCTTGTTTTCAGGCCCAGTAAGGGTTATTTAGGAGACAGTTCTCTGAAAGTTTTGATCACTTTGTCACCTCATTTGTAAGATAAAAAATAAGTAAGGATTAAGACACTACCATTTTTATTACCCATGATGTTAATGTACAGGTAGATAATAAAGTCAGTGATTTGTTTCACAACTGTTATGACCATCAACCTGGTCCTGCAAGTCTTATTTGTGTGAGCTGTCCTTACTTGAGAGGAAAACCTCAATAAAGATAATGAGAGCATTTCTGGCAGGAAAGGTTCCAGAGTTGATCCTTAATTAAAGTCCTTTTAAAAATGTCATTGTGGAAATATTGCTCTTACACTCATACTGTTAGTGACATGAAGAGTCTGTGAAGGTTAATTGCTTTGAAATTATATTTGTAGCTTTCTTAATTAGACTCTGAACTGGAGATTTCAAACTATCTTTCCATGGATAACAAGGCACAGAAAATCTTACTGTCGTCTAAAGAAGGCACTCAAATTAATGCAAATTCAACTAAGAACAAACTGCCAAAGAATTCTTGTTCATACATTCTCTTTGGTAATTTTGCAGGTTGGGCAAACCCTTTAGGGGTAAATTCAGCTCTT